ATATTAAACAAATATAAAATATTAAAATGTAAATTAAAAATACTTTTTAGTGGGTGTTTATAACTGTTCATCTGAATTGGTCAGACTTTATTTTGCTTTCAAATAAATTTCAGTAAATGGAACATCAAGTCATAAAATACTAGTAATACCCTGATATAATGAGTTGAATAGTTGTATATATGTTATGACTGTGGTCATAATGCCAGCACAATGTCTTAATGATCTGAAAGAGTTGAAAGTTTTTACCTGTTATTCAAAACAAAAGAAAGTTCCTGTTTATGCTGACTTTTGTAAAAGTCAAATTAATCTGCATATGCCTAGTTGTTAAACAGCTGTGGGGACACAGTTTTTTCTAAAAAGGTAATTGACCTTTCTCTAAATAAACTCGTTCTAGTGCAGGAAATAAAGCATTTCTACAAAAACCTGTCTTGAGGTTTTGTCTGTCTGACCACACTGTCAGAACAGCAGTTGGTTACATTTTCAGAGTTCATTTTTCAGCCTCAGTAGTGAAATCAAGCTTTTCTCAAGAGTCTGTGTGGACTGAACCTTGTATGAGTCACACAACTAACAACCTCATGTGTCAAAAAATTATACAGGTTGTCAAAAGATTTAATTTTAGAAATAAGACTGCATTCAAATGTTAATGGTAAATAACAGTGACAAAAATTAGAGGACAAAAATCACGTTTGTTTGCTCTTTTTTGGTGTTTCTTCTGAAGCCTTTTCTTAATCACAGTTTAAGAGAACCTGTAATTTGCCTCTTTTTATGTTATGCAGAGAAGGCCAAGCCATTATTTTTGTCATTGATAGCAGTGACAAATTAAGAATGGTTGTGGCCAAAGAAGAACTTGACACCCTTCTGAATCATCCAGGTGAGGAGGCTTTTTTCCCCTTCTGTCTCTGTATTTGCTATGTTGTCTTAAGAAAAGTCCTTATCTGACACATTCTGCATTCTGAGTGCTTTGCAAATACTTCAGCCATTGATGAATACGAGAACAATAATAGTCTTCAGTAAGTTTTGGGGTTTTTTTTATACTTATGCACATTTACAAACTGATTATACTTCAGTTGGCTACACTGAGTTGGATTGGTCTTTTATTAATCAATATAGATCAAAAGTTGCATTGTTCTGAGGAAGAGTAGACTTTGACCCTTTGGAAGCTGGAGAGCCTGTATGTGATGACAAACATACAAAAAAGTATCTCCCTGTCTGGATTGTTCCATAAAGACAGCTAATTACTTTAATGTAACTTTTAATTTCTTTTTTTCATCTTCATTATCTTTTTTTTTTTTAATTATTATTATTACTATGCTTTAGCCAAAAATAAGGAGGGATAATTATACCAGTCAGTTTCAATTGCCTATAAAAGGATGCATGGGATGGAAGAGAGTATGAGAGGATTTGTGATCGGGGGGAGTTGATTTTAGGGTTTTTGTTTGATTGGTTTGGTTTTTTTATATGAGGCTACACTTTTTAAATTAAGTTCTGAGATCGGTCAATTCTTTGCTTTTTCGCCTTTCCGTATAGCCAACATTACTGGAATGTTTTTGTAAGCAATATGCAATTTTGACTTTCAGCACTTTAGGTTGTTGCTCTGACTAGCCAGATTATAAAACTATATGCATGAAATTTAAAAATGAAATAATCCTCTACTTTCTTACTTATTCTACATTAAGCTGGTAGAGCCTTAAGTTGAGGGGTTACAATGCTTGAAAGTAAGAAAGGAGATGCTGACTTACATTTCTAACCAAGAAAAGTAGTATGTGATAGGGGCAATTATGTTACTATGATTTTATTTTCCATGAAGACTGCATATAATACATTAATTCATCAACAAAGATGCCGTAGATGAGTGTGTGTGAGCTGACTGGGCCCTCTTAATTTCATGTTCAAGGGTATGGGCCACTTCAAATGCAGACACTGAAAAGACAGTCTTGCAAAGGTCAAAGGGGAGGATGAGGTGAACCAAAGGCTGCAGGTGGGTTACATGGAGGCCAGGGAACTTTGTACCAAAGCAGGTATTAACCACAGTGGTAAAAGGCGATTCTGTTGCTGAAATGGAAACCACATAGGACCAAGAGTGGCAGGTAAAGACGGCTGTAATAAGTTACTGGGTTATTAGAAGGCAGAAGAGTGAAAATGTTAAGACTGAGGAGATGCAGGCTTAGGTGGGGCTTTTCATTTAGGCATTAATAGGTGGTTAATGCTGATCTAGCAGGTCAGTGCTGTTCAGTTGTTGATGTATTTGTGTCTTCTAGTTCTGAAAGACCATGGCCACCTAGTACATTCCCGGTAACCAGGAAAGGGCAGTTTTCTGCCTCGGAGCAGCTAAGCTCAAATGCAGCAACAGTGTTCCTGTTTTATGATTTCAGATTTTGATAGGTCACATCTAAGAGAACCAAAGAGAATAAAAAGTTCTTCTAGTAGTAAAGTTTGATAAAAGCAGCTGTAAACTGAATCAATATTTAACTGTTTGACTATATCAATATTTTTATTTGTATTACTGTTCGGCTTTTCTTCCTGCATACCCTACTTTCTCCCCATCTATGCTTCTGCCTCAGTGAACCTCCCGGAGTGGTTTAAATTTACATGTTTACTTAAGGTTTAAATGGATGCAGGGTAAAAACCTTGAATCAATTCCTGTCTCTGAAAATCTAAGCAATCCTTCAGTAAAACAATTGCCTCTCTTTTTGCCAGACTTTCCCTGAGGTTGTCAGGTGAAAGGGAATGTGTACTGTGAAGCATTAATGGAGTGAGAAGTTGTACTAGCTGGGACTGGTTTGTGAATCAGAACTATAAATTATTTTTACTTACATAAGTGGACAATGTACTCTACAAATAACAGCTTGTTTAATGATCACTGTTACTGGTTTTTTTTTTTTTTTTTAATCAAACTTCATTCTTCAGCATTTTGCAAGATGATAGTCTGTAGATTACTTGTTCTAGATATTGACTCTTGGGTCACTTGACCTCCAGCGCATGCTTCTAAAATAAACTGAAATTCCTGTAAATTTGAAATTCTTTGTATAAAATTACACATCATACATATCTAGTGTCTGGGGTTTTTTTAATATGTTAACTCATAACTACTTTCAACTAGAAAATGTTAACACTCCATTAATAACTGTAAAAAGTGTCGGGGGAAATACTGCATAGTAGGAAGCAATGTCATAAGGTAGGAAAATAATACAAATTTCTGTGACCACCACTTTATTTAGCAAACATCTTTAAGTGTACATTTATGAGTCTATGTGGGTAGGTTCTGCCCCTTTTTAATTGCTTTAAAAAAACACTGAAAATTCCTTGATTAACTTGATTATTTGCATATGTGATGTCAGCTAATTTCTGTGGGTTTAATTTATCCATAAGCTGCAACCTGTGGGCACCAGGGGTCATTTAATTATACTGTAGATTAATGTAGAAGTTTCAGTTGGGAGACACAAAAGCTGCTCAACTATGGAATCAAAACAGATTTAACGATACTCTGTGCTTGTATTTTGAGGTCTTTGATTGTGTTAGAGGATATCAGAGGGAAAAAATAGTTCCAGATAGGGTAATAGTTGTGAAAATTGTCGGTGTTTTGGTCAGCACTCATGATCTCTGAGTATGGATAGAGTTATCTCCACTGATTTTGTGGAAAGATTCAGTAGGGGGCTTGAAAAGAACATAATTAGGAAGGTTCAAAACACTTCAGCATTGACAGTTTGTTGGGTTTTTTGCTTTTTTGTTCCCCTCCAACCCCCCGCAGCAGGGGCAGCTGGCTTATGTTTGAAGTTTCCAAATAAATCCTTAGCTTGTTTCCTATGTGAAATAACCTTTTCTTTTTACTATATTAAAAAGAGGCTGTATAGCAGTTTTCAGGGCGGGGGGTGGGGGTGGTATTAAATTCTTTTCCCATCAAGAACTGATTGATAGACTCAAATTTAGATTTTGTCTAATCCTGTAATTTATCCTTTGTTTAAATAATGTGAAAAATTCTTACAGTTAGTCTTGGTGCTGGCAATTTTGTGGCAGTTTCGCATCTGTCAGGTTGAAGAGAGTATCCTTTGTGTCCTTCCAATGACTCTCTAGTCTTTTGTGATGATCAGCGAGGCTTATGCTTTTGAATGTGTAAGTGTGCCAGAAATTGCCAGTGTACTTGGTTTGGTCTGTAGTTGTTACTGCTAGCTGAGAAGAGCTGGAAACGAAGTCCTTCGAGTGAAGGTAGGATAAAGGATGTCCAGACGTGCATTTTTTTCCCTATTTTATGAAGTCATGGATGCTCTCCAGGATGCGAAAGGATAATTCAGACTACCCTTATGCAACTATTGTTGTGAGGTTATGAATAAACAGAAATAATTTTTCTGTCCATTTTACACATCCAGTCCTCACTAAGCAGAGATGTGTAGTATTTGTAGGCAGTTGTCTGACCTACTGTTCTTCAGTTTCACCAGCAATTTATACCTACAGCTTTAAATATATGTATAAGGTAGGGGGAGGGGGTGGAAGATCCCAAAGCCTGCCAGAAAGTTTGTGAGCATTCTTGAAGCATGCATCAGAGGCTATGTGACCCAACAGTGTGCATCTTGGTAGGATACAACCTTCAGAGAATTGCAGTTACAGGTGAGCAAAATATCTTCCTGTATTGTTTGTAGCTTATTACATGTAGAGATGAGTTAAGTGTTGCATAATGTCATGATAGCTCTATTTCTGCTCATGCCTAGATATTAAGCACCGTCGACTGCCTATTCTCTTCTTTGCTAACAAGATGGACCTCAGGGATGCAGTATCATCTGTGAAAGTATCTCAGTTACTGTCATTAGAAAACATTAAAGACAAGCCGTGGCATATCTGGTAAATTTCCCCTTTTTCTACCCTTTTACTGGTATTACTTTGTACATTCATATTTTAGCTCTAACTATGCCACTCAGTATTATATAACGTAAATTAAATCAACTAGATAAAATGCTGTGCTGCCACATGTGGAAACAGTAGTAATATTACAATACTTGCTATGAAACTTGTTTTAAACACACAATGCATTCATGTAGACTATGTCTTGAAAATTTTCACAGTAGAACTGTTACCTAAATAACGAAATGGAGGACTTCTAGTGAAATCAGAAAGCAGTGTTCTTGTCAGAAGAACAGCTGCTATTATTTTTTGCTGGGAAATTGAGTAGAATTGTTATGAGAGTGCTGCTGCTAGTTTGTCGTGCAGGTTTCAGAATATCAACAATAAAACCTTTAGAGTTGTCATCTTCCACTCTGCAGATGCTTTAGTAAACTACTGTTGAAAGGCCATTTAGTAAACTGTTCTCATGTTAATTCAAAGGGACACCGTATTCTTTGTTATCGTGTAATGTTTGAGGGGATTTTTAGTTGTAGGAGCTAGTGTCTCTTCTTTCTGAAGGATGTCAGCTTTCATATAAATAGAAGGATTTTGTGCCAGTGTTCACAAGGTAAAAAACCTCTCCTTTTATCTGAAGTGTTTTATAGAAGTTAGATTTTTGTCTTATTAACGTCCTCAGATACTATAAATAGAAAACTACAATTTTCATTTTAGGCCCTTTAATATTAACCTTGATTACCTGGGTGGTGTTTTGGGGTCACTGCTTTTTGTCTCAGAAATTACACTGATGAATTCCCAAGCTCCTTGGAAGATAATTTTATAGCTAACCACAGTAACAGTCCAGATTCACTGCTGTGCTAGTTTTCATAAGCTGAAGAATGAGGGGCCTTTAAACAGTTATACCCCTGTGACTCAAAAGGTAGATTTACACTGTTCTCAGTGTAGCTTAATATTAACATATCTTAACCGACACGCTTAGGGTTGCTGCGTCAATGAAGTGCGTATACACTATGCTTTCTTCCTCCAGTACTCCAGCATTCTCGCTGTGCATAGGAACTGCGTGGGAGGACGGTTGGACTCGACGATCTTAAAGGTCTTAGGTCTTTTCCAACCTAAATGATTCTATGACTCATTGCTGTTGTTGTAGGTAGTAAACATCTTTTATAGCATAATCCAGGAAGAGTGCTACCTAAGTGGAGGCACCAGGCACCACAGAACAATGTGGCTGTCTTGTGTGGGAGCCCCTCATGTTATTTCTCTGCCTTGAAACTGGAATTAAAATAGATCACATCTTGAAATGGTGTTTCCATATTGGGAACGTACTCTAGAGTATATCATTTGAGAAGCAGCCTTCTCCATGTGAAGAAAACTTAAGTAAACTGTACTTGATGCTACTTTTGCAATTCTGTAAATTATGAGTATAGTGACGACTCCGCTAAAACTGGTATTTTTACAATGTTTTCATAATTTGCTTTGTTTTCTTTCAGTGCCAGTGATGCTCTTAAAGGAGAAGGATTACAAGAAGGTGTGGATTGGCTCCAAGGTATATCATAAGTAATTCGCTTGCTCTATTTTCATTCTGTTAAACTTTTCATTTTGTAAGGTTTTTTCCTTTATTATTTCCTTTTTTTTCTTTCTGTCCACTTCTGCTGTCAGATCAAATTACACAGTGAGTACTGATGCTGTATCTCATATTTGCCTTTCATTTACCTCCTTAAGGTACATGAAAGATCATGTCAGTTTCTCTGACAAAAGTGTGTACTATGAAATATTAATGCATACTCTTGCAAACAGGGTAACACGTTGTTGTAAACAATAATAATACCAGTGCCTGCACTTCAATTTATTATTGTGGTAGTTCAGTTTGTTCTTTAATTTATTCTTACTGTCCTGTCCCAGTTTTACATAACTTAATGTTATGTATCAGGAAATGGTGAATAAGCAGGCTAGAAAAATAAGCAAAGTACACAGACAAATACACTAGTTTTGATTATTCAACTTCAGTTATTTAATGTAGAGCCAAAATAAGAACAGCTTACATTATAACGATCATAGCATATGCAGACACTCATAACTACATAGAAAATATCAGAGTCAGCTTAGATGATGTATTCCATACATGTTTTTAATTACAAACTTGGTATGGATGCTGTATATCCTTCTGTTGTATGTTTCGTCCTCCTGTGTACTGCTAAATGTATAGAATAGTGAAGTGTGGTATCGTTTTAGTAGACTGATTCTAATTTTAGCTCCCTAATTTACATTGCATGAGTGTATTAGGTAGTGTAGTATAATCTGAATCTGCAAGACGGTGTCTCTGTACTGGCATGTTCTGTGCGCTGGCAGCCGCTAGATGTCAGCGATGCTCCAGAGTCAGTGCCACTAAACTCATTTCCTTCAAAATGCAGCTAAATAATATCCGGCATTGTCCCTGATTTAACATATTGCCATTTATCTATGGATACCGGACTGTCCTTTCTACTTAGAATCCTTACTGCTAATTAGAAAGAGATGATTTATTTTACTGTGTTATTACAGAATACAAAAATATTTGGTCGTGTTTTCAGAGGAAGGGATACTAGCCAAAATAGTCTTTACAAAGAGATTTGCTGCTCTACAGAGGACCAGTGATGCATCCTCCACCATCTAAAAGAGTTCTGAGATGGGGAACCAGCATCTTGCTACTCAGTTTCCTTCACTGCTGTATCTGATTATCATAGAGGCAGATTCCAGTCACATACTTTTTCCTAATTTCAGGCATACTTCTGATTTAGTAATATTTTCCTGTGATTTTCAGGGCCTCTGCTTGTCTTTGAGGAACCTTCTAAGCTTCAATCCAAATTTTGAGTTGATGTTTTTGTATGCAGCTTCAAGCTACTTAAAAGGATCTCAAATGCTTGTCTGAATATTTTCTGACACAATATTTAAGTTGTATATGTAGACTTTTAAGCACAGTAAGCAGGAGCTTCTGCTGCCACTCACTTACATAGCTCTTCATAGCTATTTGCTTCTCATGGATTGTTAAACTTCTTAATTTCCTGAGCTGAAATTCTTCAGGGATGGGCTTTATCCAAAAGAATTTCTTTTAACTCCCTGGCTCAGTGCCCTGAAAAGCTTAAGAGGGGTTGGGTTTAAACTGTATTGTTGCCTAAGCACGTGCAGTTTCGCAGTTATACTTTTAATAGATGAAGACTTTGATATTTCAAGAACAAATTTTTACTACGATTCCCCTCCTCATTCTTAGAGCACTAGATGGAAATATAGCGGTCCATAAATCGCAGCCTGTGGATGCCATAAAATTCGGTGGGGGAAATGACACCTGGTTAATGAATACACAGTTCCCCTTGTCAACAGCCATGCTTTCCTTAGTTACCTTTTGCAGACCCATTACAGGTAGTTCACAGATTTGGGTTGGCAAGGGCAGAAGGTTTTGCCTTTTTTTCCCTAGTGAAGGCTGAGTTTGTGTATTTCCCTATTTTGTAATGGGGTTACTATTGCAACAACACATCATCAATAGGGTAAAACTAAGCTGTCTCACAACAGCCTAAACCCAGCTCATGTTTCCTATTAGTGGGGGAAATTATGCTGATTTCCACATTTTGTACTGAGGATGCAGTACATTTATGCTAAGGAAATGTTTGAAGTGAATTGAGAAATGGCAATGGAGAAGTGTGGCTACTGAGAGCAAAGAAATTTTCATGTGAGTTATTTAAAAACAAACTTTAAATCCTTTGCTGTTGGGGAGTTACTTCATTTTCTGTTATGTGGAAGCTGAAATGTGTACAAGGAATTGCATACTTCATGAAGTAACTTCCAGGCCTTATTCTTATCAAAATTAACTTGTAAGCCCAAAAGAGAGAATAATTGAATTATGTGGAAGAGTCTTCCTGTTTAATTGGCAACATTTGGGGGAAACAACTTGGCTGTGGAGGAATTTCAGAAGTGGAAGACAGAGCAAGTTGAAATCAACTCTAACTGCATTATCCCCCATTCTTCTAACTGCACCAAAAAAGAAAAAATACAGCAAGAATTCATCTTGTGTTAAGACTAGCTGTTTCTTTTTATTAACAGATCAGATCCAAGCAATGAAGACATGAGAGATAAATAAAAGATGTACGGCATTGTTTTACAAACGTTGTCAGTAGGTGTACAAGTTCCTTGGGAAGGAAGAATGATTTAAAGAAAATGAAGAGTTCAGCTAAAATATACTGTGTTGACTTGTTTCCTTTTAGTATCTCTTCCAGGAAAAGTGAGTGTAGACAACATAGCACCTCAGGTATACACATTGATGAATTAAATTGAATCTTGTGACTGGAGAGCATATTTTAAAAAAAGATTTGTGTCAACAATAAACATCTGCATTCATTTGAGTTTTAGGTGATAATTGGCCATCAGGAAATGCCCCTCAGTTTTTTGGGGGGACACCTTTTGACCAAATGGGAATATTTTATTTTCCTGAGAAAGAATAATCAGCACTTCCTGAAATACAGCTGCATGAGATACCTACAGATTTTAGGTGCCCATTTTTAGGTATTTCTGCTTTTTTTTTTTTTATTATTGTAAAGTTTGATGTTGGGTTTTTAGTAACCATCTACAATAGGCTTCTAGAGAAATATTTTGATTTAAGATACAAAGATTCAAATACTCAGTGTATTTGTTATAGATGATTGCAGATGTTTTTAAGGAACTGCTTTTAATGAAATGTTATGAATTGTTTTTGTGATATGCAGTGGTTATATTTGCATTCCCATCAATAAAACTTCAAATATACAATAAGCCATGGTTTGTTTTTTTAACTTAAATATGTTCATTGATGGTCTTTACATCTTAGAGATTTTTGTTTTTCTGTTAGTTTCATTTAGAATTTGTTTGTCCATTTTCCAATGGAAATAGCACTGTATACTGTAATAAAATGATATCTCTTTTGCCAAGCTGTTTTTTTTTTTTTTAAATTGCATACATTTGTTACACTTTCCAATGAGCTAGACTGCTCTAGATATTTAAGGAGCAGTTGGTTGAAAGTTATATTTTGGAAACACACTTAAGGGACAGTTTACTAGGTCATTAATAAGAAATGTCTTATATTTCTGTTGTGTACAAAACTGTTTTACTTTCAAGAATAATTTCAAGAATAATAAACTTTCTGACTTCAAAGATGTACCATAGGTAAAAAATTAAGCCAATGCGAAGAACTTTATTTTTGTCATGCCACCTCTTCCCCTTTAATCCCTCCTCCCTTGTCCAAGAAACAAGCAGACTGACACTGAGAATGCTGAAGACTGTATTTGAGTGATTAGCTTATTCCTGTGGGAGATGTAATAATGTAGGTCTTGCAAAAGCTTCCCCCCCGTTATCAGCATATAAAACACAGTAAGCATGCCTTCTAGTGCTCATGCAATAGAGGAATATTTGGAGCAAAAGGACCTGCCTGAAATGGTAGAACAGTTTCATGTACTTTTAGTTATTATTAAACAGTTAAAATTAACTCCCCTGCTTTGCTAGAGGGAACTAAGGCTTACTGTAAAAAAAAAAATCTTTCTGACAGGATGCTATAGTTCTGATGCTATAAGTTTGTCATGAAAGTATTTATTGTTCATGTCTCTTTCTGTGACACCTTTGACCTTCTGTCAACTCTGAATCTAAATATCTATACAAAATCAAAGGAGGAAGAATCATATATAATTCTGAGACTTTCTCTAACTCTGAATTGCAGATAATTTTCTGGTTTACTTTGCACTGGATAGTACAGTAACAAAAATAATACTTGTTGGAAACATCTGTTGTTGAGTAGACAAAATGTGTAATTATTTTGGTTCACTTATATGGCTTATTTAAATGAAACATTTAATTTTAAGTTGGCATTAATTTTTTTTTTCCTACCAAAGAAAATTTAAGTTCTTGCATAAAATCTGTGTTTCTGACTTTCTTGAATAATCTGCACCTTGATGGCTTTCTGATTATTTTTGTTTATGTTGGACTACACCAACTACTGTGTTTATCTTATGGATTGCCTTTACTCTTATGGGAAGCTGTTTGAACCTACTGCTTTGTTCTTCCACCCACAAATCTGAGGAAAGTACGTTATTGTCTTTTATTTTCTGCTTTCTGACCTGGTTAGTAAGCGCTTTTTGAAAACAGCAATTAGTTATGTTGATTGTTGTTCCCCTTCTTCATTTGTTTTTGGTTTATTTCTTCAGCAGCTCTTTCCATTCCTCTCCTACCAGGACACTGAGCTGGATGGAGACCTGTTGGAAGGAGTGGGAATGGGGACAGTTCTGTTAATGAAATGCTTGATTTCCCCTGCTCCCCCCTCCCCATTACTGCTTCAGCCATGACCTGTGTCTCTCTCACAGAACATTTGTGATCGTTCTGTGAACATCAAACCACTGGAGGGATGCCTGCATGTTCACTTCTCCTCCCCCCATGGTGTACAGGCGTAGGTCCCTAACATACACAGTTGCTACAGCCTTGAGTTGCTCTAATAACATTGGATTTGGTGTAAGGATCATGTATTGCACACAAGCCTCATACATCTGCACGAAAAGGCTTCTTTGGGGTTGTTTTCTGAGGGCCCAGTTGCTGTCAGTCTTCAATGCTGTTCTCCCATTACATTTAGCATGTTAAATAATTAGAGTAATGAGTTCTATCTGGATGCTCCAAGACAGTTTGCATGTATGAGTTCATTGCGCCTTAGGAACAAAGCAGACAAGTTCCTTTGGAGGTTTAAATGAGACTTGCAGCATATTCCCTTTTTTCCCTCTGTGTTACTATAGGTCTGCGTTAAGTGAGAACTTGAAAGGTAATAGAGTGACTGAAAGAGACTCTCAGAGAGTTTGGTCTTTACACCCCACACGATGTTATGTGCTGTTGCTTCTGTGCACTAAGCACACTGCCCTCCTATGCATTTATGAATTTCCTTAAAATATGCCTGGTAGTGCTTAAGACTATAGCATTTTCAGCTGAAATGTGAGGCAGTCATTCTCATATACAAAGTGCTGCCTTCTACATCTCTTCTTTACCAAGTGGGGTCTATCAGGTAAACATGTGATTCCTAATTCTTTCTAGCCTTGCCTCTCTGGTATTTGGGATATGAGTCCGTGGGAACTTTGTGTTTAACCTGTAGCTACTTGCAGGTATGCTGAAAGTCTGCGTGGCCTGAAGACTCCTGGGCAATTTTCTGTTAAGCAAGTGCAGTTCTAAGTGTTAGGATGTAAATGTAATGGATCCTTCTTTAATCTCAGCCTTCTAACTATAATATGCTTGGTTTTTTTTTACTTACTAATAAGAAAGATAAGCTGCTGTGAAAGGCTAGACATTACAGCTCAGCTGCACTGCTTAGTTGTCTACAGGAAGGCATTCTGATGCAGTAATACGTGGAATGGTAATGTTGTATTTTAGTGCTTCCTTAAAACAGCTGTGCAACCCTGTGTCTCAGAAAGCAGCTCATCTTTTAGAACCTCTAACTAGAAAATAACATTTTCTTAGTAATAAGAAATAAAATTAATGTTGATTCAAAATATTTGTCCTTAAAAGCAAACATTTCTTATGCCAAGAAATACAGTTTAATCTTAAAAGGTTTTTGGTTTTTTTTTTTTAAGTTTTACTTGTCTGGGAAATTACTCTCCTTATGATTAATTTCTGTCATCCACTTTAATGCTTTCTGGCCTGCTTTATTTCTGTTTCACAGAAATCCTTACACATCTTGCTCCTAAACTTTCTGGTCTGCTTCTTTTAACTTTTGCTGAGTACTCTGCTAGTGAAACTTTGCAGCTCCCTTCCCTGTTGGGTTTTGTTGGTTTGGGTTTTTTGGTTTTTGGGGTTGGTTTTTTTTTTTTTGAGAAACAAAATAGATAATGAGAGAAGGTCACAAAAGACCAGAATAAAAAAAGCAAAAAGAAAAAAAAAAGGCTTCAACTCTTCCCTTTCAGAAAGGGCAGGAAAGTTTGCTTTGAAAGGTTAACTTGATATGCCCTGATCTTTTTTTATCATTATTGCACAGCCCATACTTGATGGCTTAGATTGTAAAATGCACTGTTACTATGCAAAAGTAATATTATGTGTACAAGCTAATCAGAATTCAGGACTTGCAGTGCTGTCTTATGACAAGTGCCAAGTGTTTTTAGTAATATTCTGTAATCATACTTCAGTTCTGAGGCTCTGTAGCTCCTGTCACAGTAAGTTACATTATGAAAGCACCTGTGTTGGTGTGAACTGGCACTTTATAATTAACCAGTGTTCAGTCAGTTGGATTGCTACTTAATTGGCTGAATATTTCTAGCCATAAGAAGTTCTTGTTCTCAGAAGTACAGTACGTATGTGATATTGTACTGTTTGCTGTCAGTGGATGTCAGGACCTCACCATGTGAATCAGCCATGTTTACTTTTTCCACTTTTCTAATGATAGCATGAAACCCACTCTCACTCCCCTTTTTCAAAATCAATCTTTAAAACGAAAGCTAGGCTGTTAATGTCTCTTGTCTACCATTAAATGATCTTATGTTTTACAGATTATCAGAAGGTGAATTTAACTGTATTAACAATCATATTACTCAGGCACCAAGTCGCAAGGGAGTGTAAGTAATTTCTCTGTGAATTGGGGCACCTTTGAGGATCAGGTTAACTCATTTAGTAAAAGAAGTATAAATTTAGAAACTTCGTGTTAGGCAGTCTTTTTAAAAACAATTTTGTCTTTGGAGATCGGTAAGTAGATTGTAGGGCCAGCAAGATAGTTATTGGACCAAATCTAGTTTGCTGAAGAGTTGCCTAACGGTTCTCAGTAAAGGGAAGAAAAGACAGTAAGGAAAGGATGTGAGAAATAAAGGAAATTTTGTTTGGGCTGAAGTAGAGTCATGCTAATGCTAACTAATATTAAAGAAACCCAAGCTTCTTTGAGGCTCAATGAAGTAACCGTGATAAATGACTGAAATGGATACTTGCAATACAGGCTCCCTGATAAGGAGAGCAGCCCCATCAAACTGCTTTTGTAGAGCAAGATAGTTGGTGCTGAGGACCTGATGTCCCCAGTCTGTGTGTTTGAGTTTTCTTCAGCCTGATTCCTTTCTGGCCCTCCAGACTGGGTGCCTCTTAGTTGTTGGAGCACATCGGGTG